GATTTTAAACGGGCGTTCTTTTAATATTTGTGCCGTCTTGCTTTTCTCCCGTGCTGCCGTTTTATTTTCTCGTAAAAATTGATTTGTATTTGATGAACCATTAATTCCTTCGCTTTTGGACCTCTTTGCTGGAGAAGAAATGACATTTGTAGTATTGGCGGAAGACTCAGATAAAGACGTATCTACATTATCTTCTTCGGATGTATATACAGAAGAGTCGGAGTTTGCATTCTCTAGCGTGTCATTAGCAACGTCATTCTTGTAAGAAGGCTCTTTTCTCTTTCGGTTAGTAAGTGACATAATTGTCATTAAGTTGTTGCAAAAAACGTTATAGTAATGTATATATCAAGTTAAATGTGTCAACTTAAAATCAAATGACTTTACAAGTTGCTCTTAAACCACGAATATTTGATAGGAAAAAATTAGGAAAGAGAATAAGAAAGAAAGAGATATTGCGGTCCCAGAATGAAAGATCGACCTTATCTTAACTTGTAAATATGTAACACAAGAGTTTCAAATTTAACATTATGAAAGCACGTGTTAATACAACGCCTACAACGCCTCTGAAAATCTTACTGGAGATTGCACAATGTCCGGTCACTGCAGGTACACCTTCTAGTGGGGGGTATGTATAATTTTATATTATTACATTAAAACTTTTTATGTTTGATAGTAAATTTTATTTTATTTTTTATTTTTTTTTTTTAATTTATAAAAGTGTGTAGCGATGAAGTGACGAACAAAAAAAAAGGCAAAACCGTTCTTAATGAACGGGAGCGCGCAGAATCACTGAGACATTGTAAATGGGTAGACGAAGTTATTGAAAACGCACCATGGATAATAGATAAAGATTTTTTAGAAACGCATAAAGTACGCTGCCATAAAAGATTTTAAAATTTGGTTGATAATTTATTAATCAAAAAAATTTAATTATTTCAGATTGATTACGTTGCACACGATGATCTTCCTTACGCTTCCGAGGACACTGATGATGTTTATGCCTTTGTTAAGGATCAGGGTCGGTTTCTTCCTACAAAACGTACTGATGGTATATCGACGTCTGATATTATAACCAGAATAGTTCGAGACTACGATCAGTACGTGCGGCGCAATTTGGAAAGGGGCGTCTCTCCAAAGGAATTAAATATTGGATTTCTCAAGGTATGAAACTGTTATATGGAAACTCAATAAAAAAAAATTAATTAATTAATTAATCAAATTAAAATTAAAAATGTTATTTTTACAGGAGCAGGAGCTGCACATGAAGAAGTCCATTTCCGAAATTCGCACCACCATCCACCAAAATTGGCATGGGACCAAGGTTGAACTGTCCAATGACCTCTCTGAGCTGAGAAATGACTTGGCCCAAACTTTTGCTCTTTGGGAATACAGGAGTCAAGAGTTTGTTCGAGGTTTTGCCGCGCGGTTTGGCGCTGAAAGTGTTGTGGTATGCTGATCAATATATGATCTATGTTGCATATACATTTTTTTTTATTCTCTATTATTAATCTGTTATTCTATTTTAGGATAAAATATTTCGTCGCCGGCCACGTAGAATCTCAACAAATGAGTCTGGTACCACAAATGGTGGATCATCTGATGAAGATTCAGTGCTTCGTTCGAGGAGCGTATCTCCCGTACGAAGGGTGATCGATTTTATTATCGATCAAAGAGGCACCAGAAGACGATAAATAAATTTCGTCTTTAAAATAATAATTAATAAATTTATTTATTTAATATAATAAATATATAATAAATTATATAGATTTTATTGGCGCGTCAATTTACATTCACAGATTTTTGAACAATACTTGATTAACTAGTTAATTAATAATGTTAAGTGGAAATCTATACCAATACTATTTCATTCACGTTAATATTACGCAAATCGTTAATCATAGTAGTACAAGTAATTGAATTTTGCCCCAATTTTTGTTTATATTTGCATGTGTTTATCGTTCCGTGGCTGGAAAACACATGCCATAGTGCCAATAATCATTTATTAAAAAGTAATTTCTCGTATCAGTACGTATTAGTATTGTTAAGATACAATGACTTAAATCGCGAATCATACAATCAAATTTTTTTTTTTTTAATAAAAAAAAGATATATCCTACGATTTTTTCTTTTTTAAACTTATTATTTCCATCATTTGTCTTTTTTACTCTTTCAATTATTATGCCATTATTCAATCAATTTTTCTCTAAACTTGTTGCCCTGTTTGGTGGCCAAGTTTCTCAAGACCATTTAAGATTAACCTTCTCATTATTAATCGCTTATCCGATGGCTTTAGTATACAAAAATTTACCTACAAATAGTCAAAATCTCAAACATCTTTTTTCAATTTCTTTCGCAATTTTTATATTATTTGGTTTAATGGATTTGGCAAAAGCATTTTGGATCATGTTATTTAATTCCGCTTTGACTTATGGAATATTGTATTTCGTCAAAGGTCCTTGGGGTCCAAAACTTGTTTTCTTATTTGTTTTGGGACATTTAAGTATTAAGTACGTAAGTTTTGAAAAAAGAATTGTCTAAATCAGCTTCTATGTTACACGATGCAGGTTAAGATCATGTGTAACAATGCGAGTTGCTATTGTCATTTTTATTACAATAGTTATTAAGATAAATGTTTATATTTTTCATTTGTTAACAATAGCCATTTATATCGTCAATGGAACAACATATCACTTGAACGTTATGATCCTACCGGTCCACATATGGTGTTGGTTATGAAACTTACTTCTTTCGCCTTTAACATTTATGATGGACGAAGGCCAATTAAAGTTATTATTTCCATTTCATTCACTCGATTTTTTTAAATGCATTTTCTTTTTAATTGACACATATCATGCATGTACTACTTGTTTATTACAGGAACTTACTCCAAATCAAAAGAGTAAATTAATTCCCTCATTACCACCATTGCTTGAATTCCTAGGTTATGTTTTCTTTTTTGGTGGATTCTTGATCGGTCCATCTTTTGATTTTATGGATTATAGAAGATTTGTCAATATGGAAATGTATCGAATTGATAAAACTGATAATGAAAAGAATAAATTCATTAAAGAAGATTATAAATTTTCTAAGCGATCTTTATACGTTATACCTGATGGTTCTATTCCTGCTATGGGAAAATTGGTTACAGGATTTTTTTTTATTGTATGTTTGGTCACGTTCGGTGGTAAATATCCTTATGATTGGACTTTGAGCGAAGAATATAAAAATCTATCGTTCTTTAATAAGTAAATATTCTATGAATTAATTAGGTTATATATTTTTAATTCCTTTTTCTTTCGTATCTTGAATTTTATTAATCCTTCATTTTCTTATCAGATTATGGTATGTTCAAATGTCAAGTTTTTGCGCTAGATTTAGATATTACGTTATTTGGTTGCTTGCCGAAGGTTCTTGCATTCTTTCGGGAATTGGGTTTAATGGTTATGATGAGAATGGTAACGTTAAATGGTAAGCTTCTTTCAATTACGCGTCTCTTTTTTATAAAATTTATAATACACATTATTTATATATCATCACGTGATTCGTCGCGTGTTATCAAGGAATCGAGTTACAAACATTGATGTTATTGGGTATGAAACAGCCGATAATATTAGACAACTTCTAGAATCTTGGAATATGAATACAAATAAATGGTTGAAAAATTATGTGTACCTTAGAGTAACACCACCTGGTCAAAAACCAGGTTTCTTTTCAACTATTATCACATTTGGAATAAGCGCTGTATGGCATGGTTTTTACCCTGGATACTATTGTAAGATTATACCTTTGCGTAAAATTTTAGACGTTAATCGTACTTCAATTAAAATATTAATTTCTTTCTTTCAATAGTGACTTTTATTAGTGGTGCATTTATCCAAAATCTTCATCGAAGTAAGTAATTACATTTGGTAACTTTCACGTGATACGTGGTGCATTTGCTAATTACTATTATTTGTTTTTTGAAGAAATTCATCGTATTGTTCGTCCAATTTTTTTAACTAACCGTTTCGCCCGATATAAACCTCTATATAATTTCTTGGGCTGGCTTATTACACAAACTATGGTCAATTATCTTACCGTCTCATTTAATTTACTTTCATTGGAGCATTCATTATATACTTGGAAATTGCTCTACTTTTGTGTACATATTATCATAATTTTAGCAAACATTTCTTTTTGGTTGGGTGCTGGAAAAATTTGTAAAAAAATTACTGTTTTTGGAGGTGGTGTTCTTGATTAAAAAAAAAAACAATGGCTAATATATGACAAAAAATTTGTAAATTTTTGTCTTTAATTACTTATTACAATAATTGAGAAATATCTTTTCACATAATACAATAGTTATTTTCTTTGTGCTGTATTTGTGTTTTTCATTTATAATTGATAATTAAGAACTTTTAATTTTCATTAGCATCTATAAATATACCACAAACTTTTAGAATTTTTATTGAGAATGCTTAGGTAAAATGCAAATTTACGTGGTTATTAAAGTTGGCTTTAGGATTGACTATTAATGAATAGCATCTTTAAGATGTACTTGGATATAAACACTTATATTAGAAGGATACAGAAACGTATTTTATATTATCTAAGCGTGAGAAAGATATACAGTCAAACCCACACCTTTGAAATACAGAAAGTGGTAATTATAGAGATGTGAAATATAGAATGTACTCTATATAGTTATAGCTATATTAAAAATAAAATTCTGTGGCTATATAAAGGTTTTATTATATAAAAAATTTTTTAAATAGCAATTATAATTTTATATTAACTCCGGCTCTAGTTTTCTTAACAGCTACCAAACAAAATTGGATAAAATTTTTACTAAAAATAGACATAATATTGGGCTATAACATATAAAATTTTAACCAATTTGGATTAGTAGTTCTTGAAAAATTGCTCAAAAACTGTAAACAATTTTTTCTAAAAAATCACTTATGAATTAGTAATTCAAATTGGTTAAAAAATTAATATATTGTACCCTAATACGTACTGTTTATATTTACTTTTAGTAAAAATTTTTAGATTTATTATTTTGTACTATAGATATTTAAGATTTTTATTTCTTAAAAACATACTAAGTAAATAGAATTGGGTATTCAAATAAAAATGCTTAGAACCTTTAAAAACTTTACAAAAATTGAAATTGAAACTTTATATCTAATATAGTATATACAGTATTATATTATATAAAAAAAAAAAACATTAAAATTGCACTCTAATTTTAAAAATACATTAACACTAATAATACTATAAATATACAATATAATAGAGTTGGAATCTCGCAGCCTAGTAGTCTAGGCACCCAACCCTCCACAAGTGGGTTTTAAGTTCAGGTCCTAGTAAATATGAATTCTATGAATATTTGAATATACTTATTATGAAAAGTTCAAATAAGTATAAGTCTAGATTAGAAATTTTTGAAAAGAGGTTTATTGTAAAGAAGTTGATACTACGTGTGACTACTATTGTTACAGAAAGTTCTGTTATACAAAAGTTGTGTATATAAATTCTTGGTTAGCATAGATAGCACCAACAACTCTAAGGCAGTATTAGAATCTTGTTTAAAAGGATGATCAGATAGTAACTAGAATTAAAGTAGTAAGAAAAGTAGCCTTATTAGATTTGAAACATCTTTAGTACTATGTAGAATTACTTATTAAAAAGAGGCTAAAGCATAGAGGTATATATATATCAAGACCTAACAAAGCTCTGTGCATATCTATATAGAAGTTTTCAGATGCTATAAAAACCTGAAACTACCAAAACTAGTATAACTAGTACAAATACATATAGTATATAACTAGGAGCTACAACTGCTAAGAATTATTATAAAAAAAAATGATGATATACTTGTTATAAACCTCTAAGTCTCATAATGTTATCAAACTATAAAAGGCTCTGGAAGTGCAGAATAACTGGATCTTATTTAGTATAGGTAAAAATATAAAGATAGTATAAAATTATTTAAAATAAAAAAATACTAATTCTAACTTTAATCTAACTATTATTTAAACTATCTCTTAAATTGTTTTGCAGCCAAATTTGCCTGCAACTTTTTTTAAATTTTAAATTTTTTTAATAAAATTTTAAA